CGGCTGCTCGCCTTCAGGTGTTGGGGTCGTAAGTTCATTTTCTCATTCCAACGAAGGGGTAATGTTAGGCTCTCCTGCAGCACCTGTGTCCCCTGGTGTGAGTCCGTGCCGATCTATGTGTGTGTTCCCCGCCTCCCCTCACGGGTGTCCTGATCCGCCTGCCCGTCCCCGGGCCAGGGCGAGGGCAGAGGTAGCCGCTGTGGTCGCTTCAGTCACAAAACCGGTTGCTAGAGGTTGTGCCTGGGCTTCTGTGCAGCTGCAGCGGTAGGTGATGTGTGTGCAAAACCAGAAACCACCCGAATGCTCGAGGCAGAGTGTGCGGTTCGTAGGATAAATGGTTAAGTAATACAGCTGGTAGCCTGAAAGACGCTGGACTCTTCGAAGGTTTGATTTTTTTCCACCTCCTGCCTAAAGAGGATTTTGTAGAAGGGGTGGTAAAGTTTCCATCTCCTGAAGACGTCTAGGCCTGCGTGTCTTCAAAAGTTGTAGCATTTTTGCATTATTAAAAAATCGTTTTTAATTTGCCTAAACTTCTGGCACGATAAATACTAGGAATATTGCCTAATAATATGTGTGAAACAGCTATGTGCTTGTACATATGTATGGGTTAGGAAAACCCATGTACAGAGCTGAATACTGTTCTGTGGAGTTTTGTCGAGTAGAATGGAATGACCAAAAAAAAAGGGACAAATGCAAATAGCTGAGCGTTAGGGGAGAAGGATTCATAGTGGTAGTGTAATCTTAATCTGCTGTGTAAAATAGATTTACAATTTATCTGAAATAATCAGATACTCTTTAAGCAGGAGTCTCAATAAATACAATTTGCCTAAGTGAAAGTGAATATACCACAGTTGTTGCTGCCTTGGTCCCATGGTTTTTTTGTTCACTTTTGGAATAAAATAATATTTACATTGTAGTTCTCGTTTTCATATGCTTAGCTTTGGCCTCTGGTTTCTTTTACACTGTTGGCTAAATTAAAGAATTCTTTATTAACTGTGTTAGTTTAATAAATTGTTACACAACGTTATGAGATGGGTTTGACTAGTTTGACCATCTTGAGTCTTGCGTGTTAAATTATGTTTCCAGCTCTTCAGTCTTTCTGTGGCCATCCTACTCCTTTAACACCAGTCACAAATCCTGGGTCACCAGAACTGAATGTTGTGTTCTCGCAGTGTATGTTCTAGGGCTAAATACTTACTGTGATTACTATTTGTTTTTAGGCATCCAAAGATAACCTTATTTCTTTCCAGTGCAGTATGGCATGAGGAGTTCTTGTTCAGTTCACCACTGAGTAAGTTCCAGTTTTCTTATGTCCCAGAAACCTCTGCCCTATAAGCATTGCTGACTATTCTGTTCATTTGTTCATCATCATTCTATTGACCTCATACATGGTCAAATATGAGGAGATACAATTTAACATAACTGCTTTCAGAGTGGTAATATAATTTAACGTGACATAGACTTATATGGGAAGTCTCTATCACTTTAGATTTTATATATCTATTTTTACATATATATACACACACACGTGTGTGTGCACACTTTGCTGTTCTTTAGCAAGGAGTGAGTGCAATTGCTTGCACAGTCATATTCCAAGCATCTTTAAAATTTTTTTTGTTTGCCTTGTAGATTTGGGAGCATGGCTGCTAAGAAACTAAGAAGAGCAAGGTTGTCTCAGGAGCTGTGTGAAAGGCTGAGTCGCCATCAGATCACTACCTGTCAGGTGAAAGGATTATTTTATGTTTGGGGGTGGTGATGGGTGGGTGTTTTAGGGGGTTGGGTGGGTTTTTGGAGAGGGGGGGGAGTTTTAATACATGTACCGTTTACTTTTTTGTAGTTTAATTTACAGGGAGCTTTACTTTCTGTAAAGTAGGGGGCGTTTCAGGCTCCATCTGGCCTGCTGCCTTGTTAAAAAATACAGCTTTAAAATGATATATGCCCAGCTAAAACATTTAAACTTGGATGTATTTAGTACCTTCCTTTCTAAAGAACCCGAAGATGCTTTATTTTAGCAGGGCTGTGCAGCTACTACTTATATGGAGTAAGACATCCATTTGTGAACACTTCACAAAACCACATTTTTACTACGTAATCTAGTGTGTGAATGTGCTGTGGTGTTACACTGTCAGTTATGGGTTGATCCACCAGTACATTCTGAAGTTGTTCTTAGGAATGCTCACCTAAAGAGAGCCAAGGGGCCCTATATATTTAAGTAGTATGCATGATAAATACAGGATCCAGCCCTATGATTGCAATGTAGAAGATGTGGTGTAATTTGAATGTTTTTCAGGTAGGTAGAGACTTTTGTGGGCAAAAACATGGTACCTTGTTGCAATTCCATCGCACAGTTCTTAAATTTTTGGTCCTTTGACTCCATGTCCTTTAAAATATGAATACAGTGTCCTTTAATATACTGGTATCAGGGAAAGGTAGGAGAGGTATAGCATAATAGTATGGCACAGTTGGTAAACCTGTGGAATGTATACTAGTTGTGTATAAGTTGCATCAGTCTAGTCCCCAGTCTTGATTTCTAGGATGAGCTCTCTGAACTGTCCTATCATCCTTCAGGACTTTTTATGTCTTTCCCTCTTGGAGCTAATGAAAGTGACGGGACAGAGCTACTATGATGTGCAGAAACTTCTTCGTAAAGTCAGCCAAGCTTGTGCTCCCAAAATGCAGACAGTAAGTATACTTGTGTTGATTCTGTTTTTAATACAGTATCCGGGAAAAAGCTCAACAGTGTCACTCATCTTTTCACCTGGGAGGTTTGTGGTGTCACAGTTTGATTGCACAATGAAATAATACTTTTATTATTAAATTTAGATCTCTGAGGCACTTTAGTTTGATGCAGTGACTTTTATTAGGCATTACAACCTAAAGAGATTGCTCAGGCTTGCAGAATTGGTTCTGAGTGCAATAGGGAAATACAGCATTCTCTCTTGGAGTCCAGCATATGAAAATTGCTTCTACTTTGGACCCTGCAACTAAAAAAAAATAAAATTGTTTAATAGAAGCCAAGAGTAAGAATTTCACTATAAATTGGTTTTAGGCATAAAATTGGTGCCAAGAAATGAAGTTTTCCTGAAAATAACTTATTGAGGACCTTTTCCATCCATGTAAATGAGCTGTACTCTGATTTAGGCTACAGGTCACCTAACTGGGGAGAGTGCAAGAAGGAAACTGATGTTAGCTGCAATACAGTGGCTAGATTTTATTTTCTTGTTTGAATTCAGGTAGAAAGATGTCCAAAATGGTGTCTTTTTAGAACAGAGAGGACATGGACATTTCTGACCTGTGTCAATGCAGCCTGCTTTTTTTTCTGAAAAAAATAAGCCGTGTCAAAGTTTATTATGTGTAATTGGCATAGTAAGTGTAGCAGTAACTCTGTAAAACTTTAAATTCACAAACTTACTGCATTAGTGATATGCAGAATTAATATGGCTTATACTGAATGGATTTAAAACTAGCTAATTAATACCTTTCCATAAATAACTGTTAATAATCATCAACAAATTGAAGACAGATGGAAGTTTTAAGTAAGAGTTCTAGCATTTGCTTTTGCCTGTCATCCACACATCACTATTCAATCAAATTTCTGGTATAAAATATATCTTTGCCAAGAAGCTTGGCAGATACTGAAGTTTGTCAGACAGCAGTTGTCAAGGACTTTTAATACAGAGTCAGCTGATGGATGACCAGATATGTAAATGCATACAATACAGTGCTGTACTTCCAGAAGCAGAGGATGTTAGCTATTTTTAAGGGATGTGGATTGAATCTTTGCAAACACAGGATTTGAAATGGTCTTGAGGTCAGAGTGACTGATGTAGCATCATGACTGATCTAGCACAAACATTTGACAATATCTTTGGGTAAAAAAAAATAAAATTAGATAATAGCAGTTATAAATAAGGGGAAAATACTGTCCAGATATGACATGAGAAGCACTGGCAGCAAAACTTGAGAGTATGCCAAGGTACACAGTAAAACCTTCTAATTTCTGGAAAACTTGCCTTCCAGTGTGAAGTACAGAGTGAAGCCTACGAAGCTTATCGAGAGGAAGTTAGTTAAGGAGTAACTTGATCACATTATATGCTGAGTAGAAAAAGATAATTATGTTAGAGGTCTCTAGAGTCTAGCTGAACAAAAAGCTGAATGAGATACAGTGTCTGGAAGATAAGTTCAAAAATAAATCCCTGAAATGGGAAGCAATAAGAAAAATCTTTAGAAACTAACATAAGTTACCATTGGAAAAGATTCATTCACTTGAACTCTGATTTAACAATTGAATTACTTTTTTTAACTGAAAGACAGTCTGGTTCAACTGTAATTTTGTGGCTTAAATACTGAAATCGCTGGGTAAGATTTTAGAGTCCATGTTAGGCAGGAAAGCTAGACTTGAATATTGTTTGTTTCCATCGTCTACAGGGTTTGTTTCCTGTCTACAGGGTTTAGGTCCTGTCAGAGGTTAATCAAAAAATGATTAAATTATGTTGCAAATACTTCTTCATTAGTACATGTATTCAGCCTTAAAGTGAATCTGAGCATAAACTCCAATCCCGTATGGGTGAGGTAAAGTTCATTGTTTTTTGTATTGGCCTGTTCTGTGTCTTGAAGCTTTTTTTCCCCCTATATTTTGCCTCAATAGAATTGAAGAACAGAGAAGGTCTGAATGAATTTCAGATATTATTCTAATATGCTACCTGTCATGACATAGGGAAGAACTGTAGAATAAAAAGGAAGGTATAAGCTATCTTAGCGTAGCCTGCTGGTAGAACTAGCTGGAAATTTTTGTGAGGAACTTCAGCAAAAAATGCTCACTTGTTGGTCCAACAAGTATGGACTAAAACATCTAGGATTCAATGGTGTGGTCACTTAGTTACTGATGATTCCTGTGGAGATGCTTCCATAGTACACCGCATTCCCAGCAGACTGTCTGAAGGCTGGGATAAATCTGATGTCTGCATTTCTCTTGGGCATAGAGAAATCGAGTTTTCTGGAATGGTAGTCGTGGCAGGTTATGGTGGTACTCTGTGACAGGGTTTCAAGAACCTTGTTTGTTGGCCCAGGAGTCTGAAACCTCTCAGAACTCTTAACTATAGCGACAACTTTTAGATCTTGGACTGTTACTTTTAAAATCAAACTTCTGATGTTCAGGATGATCAGTGGTTGAGGCATGTGTCAGTTTTAGCGGATGTCTGCAAGGCGTGAGCAAGACCTGATTCTTTGGGAAATGTCATGTTTTGGTGTTTCCAGATTAGCATTTCCATTTTGTTATTTCTTCGTCTGGTTTAAATTCATTCCCCAAATGAAAATAATTCTTACGAACTAGAGTTCTGATCTTGGTCCAGTTTGCTAGTCAGTGGAGGAACTAGGAATTAAACTGTTTTCAGTTCTGATCTCTCCTGTCTTCTTGACTAGTCTTCCTCACAAAAGTGGAAAATTATGAATGGCTACAGGATTAGGCCAGGCTTGTTCAAAGACTTGGGAATCTTTACCAAACCTTTCCTTGAACCCATGTAGTTTCAAATTGGTAACGAATGTTGGCCAGAAACTTCTTGGTTTTAGGTTTCATGTGAGTGTTCTGCATTGGTCACTAGCCATACATATAGTGTTTCCTTATTTAAAAATTGGGAGTTTTATGGGTTGAAAGCAAGCCTTGTTGAACAGACACAGCAAAACTTTTGAAACATCTTTATTAAAGGCTTATTATCATTAACATTGTGGCGAGGGAGATACAGCAAACTTCTAAATTTACTCTGTCAGCTATAAATGGGTTGTGAATACGAGGAAGGGTGATGAGCTAAGAGAAGACTATAGCTGAAGGTAAGAATAGTTTGCTCATTGGGAAGTGTGAAGTCATTCCAGGTTGATGAAAGCAAATGCAAGAAGTTTGCTATTTCCACGGGGGAAAAAAAAAAGGCATTTTCTCATGTGCGATTGCTTTCTTTTGCTTTTTTCCCCTCCTTTTTTAGGCTTATGAAATGAAGCTGAGGAAGTCTGTCAATCCCTCTTCAGCCTTTTTGTCTACCACGCTGCATAGTTTGGATAAAGTCTTGCATGGCGGAGTGCCCTGTGGTTCCCTCACAGAGGTAACTTGTTTAATATAGTTTGCTGCAGTTGCATATCGCACCTAGAAGTCAAAAGTCACAGATACATTGGACCGTCTTGTGTCAGGTGCTTTAAACACAAACTACACCAAAAAAATTGCATAAGTGCTTTTTTTTTTTAATTGGTAGAGGCTGCACTTTTGTGTATGTTGTTTGTGTGGTTTTTGGGGTTTATTCCCCGCCCCCACATGTCAGGTAAGTAAGAAAATGCAGGAATTAAAAATGTGGTGATCCTATTTTCCTTTAAAAAAGTGAATTCTCCCAGGAAATTTGGGAGAATTGTTGGCTGGATTTTACAGTGGGAAAGTTGCAGTGTGGTTTCATGGTCAGAGTGCAAAGTGCTGAATCAGGAATCTCTCCTTTTAATACTGACTCACTCTGACTTTACCATGTAATTAGTTTTTATGGAGGTACAATAAGCAATTAGGACAAAAGTGTGAAGCATATAGGCATGAGAATGACTTCACAGAGCTTTTATATATAAATGTAACTAATTTATGCAATAAATATGTATGCATTCTTTTAAAAAAAAGACTGTAATTAAGGCCTGTATTATATGCACATACATTGCAACACTACAAATTGTGTATCTACCTATAAATCTATAACTCTGTCATTCTCTGGCTTTTGGATGCAATGCTACTTTTTGCTTAGAATTTTCTTTTAAGAACAAGGGAACACTTCATCTTCTAGTACCTGGATTTCTCTATGGCCGCGCAGAATGTGATAACTTGCATAGTTTCTATAATCTGGAAGGACAGGATTTGTGTAGATGTTCATAGGAGTCATTGAGTATTACAAAAATACAAAGATGCAATCTCTGGCTTTGGAATTTGCTGAGCTACAAATGGAGGCGGAGAAACTTATATATTGGAGGGAGTATCAATAGGTGAGCCCTGTTCTTATGCTATTACCCTAGCCATCTGTTGTTGGCCCTTTGTAGAGACAGAATCCAGACCTAGACAGACACTGATTTTATGCAGTGTGGCCATACTTGCCTTTTTAAAGTAAAGTTCTGAATTCAGCTGTGCACTTGAAATGAGTGGAAAAGTATATAGTGTGCCTCATGCTCTGAATTGAGGCAAGTTGAGACCATTTTTTTCCTTAAACTCTTTAACGGTCCTTACCAAGTGCTTTTTCTTTGTCTACTGTGGCAAGCTGCCACAGCAGAAGAGTAGAAGTGAGAAGTTAGGAAAATCTTACTGTGAGGAAAATAGTTTTTTTTCCACACCCTATAATCAAACTAGATTTGTTTTGATCTCAGCTAGAAATCACTTATGAAATCTGATAGTGACTTAAAACATATTAGTGTTTAAGCAACACTGAGGTTAGACTATAAAAGTTTCTGCTCTAGCAAACTTATGTAATGAGGGGATATTACTTTTTAAAGATTGTGAGTATTTCTTTTTATATATGATGTACAGGAATATACACCGTTCAGGTCTTTATAAAAATGTTTAAGAAAGCATCCATTAATTTACATTGATCTGTCAGAATTACTATTTTCTTCATATTTAGTCCTAGCTTTGTTACCAATTTACTATAAGAAAATCAGATTGGAAGAACTTAACCTTGAGATGAATACTGCTAGTCTTTAAATTCTGAGAGAAAAGACTACCTAACCTGTGCTTCATTGAAGAAGAAAGAAGTGTTCTTATATGTAGCAGTGGGATATGCAGGGTCCTGAGATTGTAACTGTTCTGTTGAACAGTTGAACTGTTCAACTGCTGTTGAAGGATAGTATCTTCAGCATAAAAATATTTTTCTCAGCAAAGCAGTGGCCACACTAGGTTTAGTTTGACTCTTTTTCTTTTGGGTATTGTTTGTGCAGTCAACTGATGAAATAACACAGCCCGTGTTTGAAAAGAAATGATGCTCGCTTGTGGCTAGTATCTGGCTTTCCGGGATTTCCATCTGGTCCACTAAGTTTTCCTCAGTGGAGATGGAGGATGGCTGTTCACATGCTGCTTAAACTTCTGAATTGTGCTTCGTTAGTTGAAATGTAGAGCCACTGCTGCACAGGTAGAAATGTAGGAGAGAGATGTGTCTTTTCCTGTGATATGCTGACTTTAACATGTCCTTGAGCCTTGTTACTGGCTCATGAGTGGTGCCCAAAACAAAGGATGTCATCCTCCTATAGGTTAACGCAGATAACAGAGTCTATTTTGCTTTCTTTCCTGTGGCTTGGCAATTCTGAGTAAATGATAGCCAGAGTGTAAAAGTTTGCATTAAGGGATCCTGGAATATTTTTTTCCTAATTAAAAAAAAGAAGTGAATGTGATCCTTTTGGGTTGGAAGAGCCACAGAGTTAATTTACAAGGCTGCTGATAATAATGTTGTGAATGTTTTTGTGTTTTTTCTTAATCCTAAGCATAGCTGTAAGTCAGCTATCAGTGCAGTCTATCTGATGGGTTCTTCCCTGAAGACCAGGTAGAGTGGCTCTGGAGCACTGGTAGACTTTAAGCTTGCTGATTGCCATGTTCTTGGCATTGCTCCAGAGGGAGATCCAGGAACAGCAGCGGTTGACATGCTGGGAGTTTTACTGGAGTTCAGCTAATCTTTGACTTCTAAGTTTTGTGGGTTTTGGGTTTGTTTTTTTTAATTATTTGAAAGGAAGTTCTGCAAGCAGTTGATATTAAAACCTGATTGTCAAATAACATACTCCTGACATGGTATAAAATAATGCTTTTCAGGAAATAAATGCAAATGCTTTATTTTCCAGAGCTATGTATTTTGTAATCCATCTCAGCTTGGTTGATAATCACAGTATTAAATTTAAAAATATTTTTTTTAATGAATCCTTAAAACATTAATTTCTTTAGCTATGAGAAAATCTGGGAAACTGTTGCTAAACTCTAGTTTAAGAATAATCATACTCCATATGTATCAATGTATTTAAAGGTACTTGGGTGAAATTAATATACTCAATGATAGGCTGAACTTTTACCTGATTGTAAATGAAAAGCAGTATGCTAGGAGAGGTGTTGCACTTTAAGTTTTCTTCTGAAAAAAACTTTGAATGTTAAGTTTCTTCTAAGATATTTTGGTTAAAAATAAAAGATCTGTCGAATGCAGTTATCTTCAGTAGGTGATATCGCTAAATGACTGAGATGTTGAAGTCTGTACAAGACATCTAGTGGATGAGACCAGAACTGCAAGCATTTTGTCCTTCCACTAGTAGCTTGGTCTTGGTTGCACCCTCATGCCTGATTGACAATACTGATACATTGATACATAATAACTATTTAATCAGAAATATTATAGAGAGAACTAGGTAGATTCCAGAAATTAGATGACTAACATAAGAGATTAGAGGTGTCTAAAGTGTACTGCTTTTTATTTTCCTTTTAGGTACTAAATGTGGAAAGCATGTATTAGGGGTTTCTCAGCAAATGTAAAGGCAGAGAACAATTAACTATGCAGAAACTAAGTTTTTCATTTAAAGCCTGGTTCTGCAGATTTTGGAAAAGCATTTTTGCGAGAGTCATGAGATCTGAGGTAGTTTCAAAGGTTGGCAGCACTGCAAGTGTTCTTCAGCATGATTGTTAGATGAAATTTTAGTAGAAAGCTATCAAGTGTCTGCTGCTGCTGCTTTGAAGCTGTACAGCAGCTTGCAAATACTTGCAGGTCATGTTCTTTTTGGATTCAAGTGGTTTTGGAACATAATAATTTTAATTTGCTCTTTTGCAACTTACTGGAGCATAGCTGACCAGCAGATTGCCCTTCAGTATTTTTGTTATTAGGCAGATATTCTGAGAGAAGTTCTCTTCAAAAGTATGTTGTGTGCAGCATTTACTTCCTGACTGGTGTGGCTAACTCATTGTCTTCCTGTTACTTTACCCATCAGTGAGGGTGGTTGGAAACTTGGACTTTGAATACATGAACCACAGGGTTAAGACTTGTGGTAGTGTCTTCTACAGCCAAAGCTGCTTGCTTTTTGAGTGCCAGAGGGATTTGATTTGTGTTACACTGTCTCAGACCATTTTTTCCCAAACCACTATTAGGTTTTAAGTTGGAAATTAAATCACAGCTGAAATTTTGTGGTCAGATGTCAGAGCTTTTAGCCAACTCCTCTGAGGAAAAATTAATGACTTTGTGAATATTGAAGAGTTTAATCCCCTGGTAGCTGAAGAAGAATTAGCTCCTTGTGACTTCATCCAAACCCTACGGATGTGCCAGAGAAAATAATATATAGCTTATTGAAATATAAAAGTATATTTTATTAGGCAGAGATAAATTAAAAACTGTTGTAGTCTTCACATTTATATCTGGGTGGACTTGATTTTTTTTTTTTTTCCCCCAGAGCAAATTTAGAGTAAAACAAATGAAGCAAACTTTTTGCAGACATTGGATTTAAATTATATTAGAGGAATTTTTAGGTTTTCTTAAAGTAAGATTGTATTGTTCAAAACACTTGCTGAACCAGTGGTACGTACAGTAAAATGTGGTTGTTCTTTAAAATTGTTCACTGTGGATTATTTAAAATCCTATTTTAATGCCCTTTAAAGGAATGCTTATAAAAGATGAAGTATTGTTGTCTTTGGGAATAGACATTCTGTCTTGCTCCATTGGCTTGCTTGCTTGTACTGCAAGATTCCCTGTCTTTCTCCAATATGATGTTTATGTCCTCAGACATTTTTACAGCATCTCTGCTAAATTAGCTCCTGCATCAGCCACTGAAATAAATGTTGATTCCAATGTACCTCCCAGGTGGCAAGGCTGAAACTACAAACGTTTTTATGAGGTCTCCTCACAGTTGTCCAAACATTTTAATTTAACAACTGGATTGATGCCCTCCCCTCATTCATTTCAAGTAATCTTTTTAACTAGAGACAGCAGATTAGATTCCTTGGCTATCACAGTCTAAAGAATGTGTGTTACCTCTGCAATTTTTATATATGCTTTGGGTTCATATTAAAATCTGGCAGCTATTGTTAATATGATACCTTGTAATTTAAGTACAATGGATGGACGACAGATGATTGCATAAATATGACTGATTCCTTATAAGTAATTCACTAAATGCAGTGTGTGCTTCTAAACAAAAATAATCTAATGCTTCTCTTGCATTAAATCTTGAAGTAGTTTGACTGATATGGCGTGGTTTTCAGGCCTTGTTTAAAGACAGAAGTCATTAAAGGGATTTTAACCCTCAGTGCACTGTCCCTCAGTGTTTCCCTGTAAATTTTCTGTGCTTCAAGTCATGCTGCTGCTGCTTAAAACCGTAGCAATACTGTAGTATCTTATGGCGAAAGGGTATTTGTACTTAAAAACAATCTATTGTGCATTTAGGTGGTGTAGGTTTCTACACCATTCTGGTGTAGCTTTCTTTTTTAATTTAAAACAACAGTTCAGTATTCAAGCCTTTGTTTTGGCAGTACTAGGTGTTTTGAGGAGGTATGGTTCATTTTGCAGTTTAACTTCTCTGGAGAGCCTTTTATCTTGCATTATTATTTAGTCCCTACTAGCATAAGAATGAACCCATCACTCTGTTTTTAGTGCCTGAAGTCACTTCAGCTTTGTATTTGCTGTTTTTCAGCCCTCTTAGTATTTAAAATGTCATCCTCTCACTTCCCAGAAGCAGTGACAATGGGATATTGTATTTAAAGACCCAGTGTAGTAGTAATGAATGTATGATTATCTGAACACAGACCCCAGTGTTCATTTGCAATCTCTACAAGATCTGCAGTGGATAAAAACCAGCACCCTGCTGTCTCTAGTGAAAAAATCTTGCTCTCAGAAACTGGGGATTCCATCAAACAGTGTATACTTTTGATCCTTGTGGTTTTTCTCTTGGATCAAAGTCATACTGGAACCATTTCACACAAGTGGAGTGTGCTTTTTTTGAATACTGCTTAACCGCAGTAGGCTTTCAGTAAGCACAGGTGAAAGCTTAAAATTGGCAAGCTCATCTGGATCACTAAATGGTGCTCATGTTGAAATATGGTAATAGGGAGTTAACAATGACAAAACACATGCTGCACAGCAGAGTGTAGTCTCTGGGGCAGATAAAAAAAAAAAAATCTGTCTTTTATATATATGTGGTTCATATTGAACATGCAGTCTTTACAGGATACAAGCTATCCTACGTGATTTCCAAGTGAGACCTGGTTGTAACCAAGGTCCTAAGCAGTTATTTATAGCTGCAAACTCATGGACTTCGCTTTCAGCTGTGAAGGGCATTGATGTCATGTGAATGTCAACTGTGAATCTTCTAAGTTTGGTCTATTTTAGAAGGTAGCACAGAGAAGGAGATGGAAGAGACCTAGGTGTGGCTCTAAGGAAGATCTTGTAAGAGGAAGGGGAGAGTAGGGAGCCTCAAATATGAGAGGTAACAAAGGATGTCAAAGAATTAAAGTACAAGCATAATGCTGTGTCTGAAGAACTGTTTATTCTTCAGTGGATGAGTTTGACTGCAAGGCACAGATCCAAGAGTAACTGCAAGTTGTTCTTTGTGGGCTGCATTCTGTCTTTATGTGCCTGTCTCCTTTGGTAACTGGAAGAGCAGAATTTGAGGAGTTCTGATGGGTCTTAATTAAAAGTAGAATTGGGGTGAAATGAATGTGACATCTCTTTTTTTTATATTATTGATCTTTTTTCTTTCAGATAACTAGCCCACCGGGTTGTGGCAAAACTCAGTTTTGTATTATGATGAGTGTTCTGGCTACACTACCTGTAAGCATGGGAGGGCTAGATGGGGCTGTTATATACATTGATACAGAGTCTGCATTCAGTGCTGAAAGGTAAGATGCAGAATTCTAAAATACACATTCAACTTCTTTAGCACCTTTTATCTTGGAGCCTTTGATTATTTACTGAGCAATAATTAAGCATTTATAAAATACCTATGGTAGTTATTAAGCATTCATCTGATATATGCAGTTATTCCACAGATGATGAAATTACATTGAAATTAATGGTTTTCTCAGCTTCCTAATTTGTATGATGTTGCAGATTCTAACTGTAATATAATGAGGTGGATGGCATGCTCTCTAATTTATAAATGGTTTTAACAATACTGTACGTGAAATCTTTCTTTGCAGTTTAGTTTGTGAGTTAGCAGGAAGGTTTTGAGGGTGTAAAGGCTTAGCATTTTGAGTACAAAGGAAACGGAGGTTTTTCTGTGAACAGTAGGACTGACATAGCCGGTTTTCCTTCAGATTTCTATCCTATTTCTGCTGAGTGGGGCTCCCTGCCCTTCTTCTGCACTTCCAATTTACTTCTGCAGTAACCTCTCATCTCTCCTACATCCTTAGTGGCCATGCAGTACTATATTCCCTTACCTGTATAACATCTCTGGTTCTTCTAATATCTCCTGCTTTGCCCACACAACCGAAACTGCTCAGTGATGCTCTTACAGTATCTTCTAACTGTTGCTGAATGGACAGCCAACACTATATGCTGTATCTGTTTGAGAGTTACAGATGCATGCACACGTTTGTTACCACTCTTACCGTGTTAACTGACTGATTAACTGTTGAAATAATTCTGCAGTGTTTTATTAAAGGTAGCTTTTATTTATTTAGGTACCAACTTTTCTAAACCATGAGCAATTTGATGTTTTTGAGATTTCTATTTGTTTGTTGCTGTTGTTTGGAATTGGTGTTCAAAAGTTATTAAGGGTCTGGGGAAGGACAGGAATTACAGTAGTCTCATCCTTGTTTGTGTAGAAAAATGAGCAGAAAAAGGTTCGTTGAAATAATGTATATATTTCAGATGACTTAGTAGTTATACCCATGGCCTGAATCTGGAGTATCAAAGCAAATGTGTTTGCATTGTTTAACCATTTGAAGCTATCATGGATGAGAAGGTGTGGTGTCTAACCCTGTTTTTGTCAAGTTAATTTCACAAAAGTTTGAATTACTTTAAACCAGAAGTGTAATATATCAAAATAAAAAAGCTTCAAGCAATGGCTCTGCAAAGTATGGTGCTCCCTTCTTAGATACCACTTAATTTTTTTTAAGGCCACTGAAATGTAGGTAGTAAAAAAGAGTGGGACCTAATGGGTGAGCTAAAACTTGCTGCTTAGAAGTGAATGCTAAAGAAGAAGAAAACAGGTGAATGTGAAAATGAAACTGCTGAAAATAAAGTAGGAAGTAGAAGAGAAATGATAAAAATAACATTATTACTAAGGTGAGAATATGTATTAAATTATATTTAGTATTGCTCAGTTGGAAATGATAGCTAAACACCGTTTCAGAAGACAAGCTATATCTTATACTTTCTGTGTTGCAACCTCTAAGGAGCAGCACCCGCAGAGTGAGGGAAGTGATTATCTCTGTCTACTTGGTTAGACTACATCTAGATCCTGTGTCTCATTTTGGGCTCTCAGTTTGAGAAAGACGTGACAAACTGCAGAGAGTTCAGCAG